TAAATCTTGTAAATTGAAAAATTTTATGAATTTTAAATTCTTGAGGATAATAAATTTGATAAATTTAAATTTTCTCAGGAAATTTTATAAATTCAAAATTCTTCAGGATAATAAACTTGCCGAGTGAGAATAATCAGGCGAGCACTTAGGTAAAATATGATTTATTGATAAGATATAAATTCTGTACAATATATATTCCCTGAATCGTCGATTTAAGAGCACTGACGGAGACGCGTCTGCTTAAATACGATAACCTAGAAACAAGGGGTGAGATCAAGCGTTCGAGATCAACCTAAGAGCATCGATGACTAGAAAATAAAAGGAACGCGATTCTTAGTACGTGTTTTAAGGAAAGAAGGATGGTGATTCGTTTCGTACGAAGCGAATTTGTCGAACCTAAATGAAACTCTTGCCGCGGTTTATCTTAACATTAGCCTTAATCCTAGTAATTCGTTGCAATAGAATGCTCTCTTACAAAGTAAATAACGATCATCTTTCGCACTGGCCTCCTAATTTTTACAATCACGCCGTTAATTCGCGCGAAATAATCTTGAACGACGCGTGTTCGTACACGATATGCAAGTTTCCGTGATCGATATGACTCAGGTACAATTTACAAGCGATACTTGAAACTCGTGTCGCTTGTAAATTGTAAGTGTACACTGTTATTTGGAACTTTGACAAAGTACGGTATTGAAAAATTCGCTAGATTACGGTGGATGCAGATTCTACTAAATTAGTTTAAACTCTTTGGTCTCGGAACTATTGGCTTTTCAACGTTACCTCGAAGCTTCGTTTACTCTCGCTGAAGTACGATACTTACAATTCTACCCTTAGGATCACAATTTAACCAGAATCATTCGTTAAAATTTCCTCAATTATTCATCGCGTTACACTGAATTCACCGCTGAACACGAACAATCCCCAAGGAACCGCTGCTCATTATAACGATACAATGGCGGCGATGACTCACGCGAGCCCCGATTACCGATGCATCGCTAGTCCATGAATACTCCATTCTCGTCGAAGCTTCGAAAGCACGAATCCGGAATATTCCTCAAATCTATCCACGATATTTCTTCTTTAAGATTCACCTTTCTTCAAAGTGCCATTCTTTACACAATTAACCCTTTCGTTAACGTTCTACCCCTTTACAGCTCTTGAATTCTGAATATTCCTCAAATCCATTCATAATGTCTCTCCTATAAGATACACTTTTCTCCAAAGTGTCATTTTTTACACAAATAATTTTTTTGTCAACCTTCTACCCCTTTATAGCTCTTGAATCCTGAATATTCCTCAAATCCATCCACAAAGTGCCATTCTTTACACAATTAACCCTTTCGTTAACGTTCTACCCCTTTACAGCTCTTGAATTCCGAATATTCGTCAAATCCATCCATAATGTCTCTCCTATAAGATACACTTTTCTCCAAAGTGTCATACTTTACACAATTAACTTTTTTGTCAACCTCCTACCCCTTTATAGCTCTTGAATCCTGAATATTCCTCAACTCCATCCGCAATATTTCTCCAAAGTGTCATTCTCCAGACAATTAACCCTTCCATCAACCTTCCACCCCTCCATACCTCGTAACCATAATTCCATCAATCCATACGAGTCACCTTTAATCCCCTTCAACAACCAAAGACAATCAAAAGTCCATTCTCCCTAATCTCCATCCCAGAACCACCCGTGAAACGTCCCGTTTGAATTTGTCACGAAAAATACAACTTCCTAAAGACACTGATACATGTTGTTGTGTCCCATGTGATGAGTTGCCGGAAGTGGATGCTGCGCGTGATACATCCTCTGGTCGTAACACGGTTGATACTGCATCGGGGGGCTGACACTCTGATCGCTGTAGCAATCATACTCCTGCCATTCGGGCACGAATCTCTCCTGAGGATAGGGGAACGGTGTGTGCGACGGCCCGAGTCGTTTCTGTGCCGCCACCGCGCAGCTTCCTGTCGACGACGTGATCATATTTCCGTTCTCGCTGATGCTGACCGTCACGTTGCCCACGTTCACCGTGATCTCGCCCGTCTCGGAATTTCCCAGCGTCTGAGAAAGCGCCCAGATGTAGTTGTGGGCGAAACGGAGGGTCTCGATTTTCGTGAGCTTCGTGTCCTCCGGAAAGGTCGGCAAAGCCATCCGTAGACGTTCCAGCGCGTCGTTCAACGTGTGCATCCTGTGCCTCTCGCGATCGTTCGCCTTTATTCGACGGTTCCTTTTCAGCCTGAGCACCTGCGAGAGCGAATCAATGGTTCAGCGTGATCGTCATACCGGTACGTCTCTCTATCTTCCGGCTTTTTCAACCATTCTCATTGTTTGTCACGCCGGTGGGTGGTTTGCACGAGATAAGGGAAGTTTCGGGGTGTGTTCTTACCTGTGTGGGACTCTTGCATCTAGCGTTCCTCGTTTTCTTCCGTTTCTCCTCCTTCGCCGGGGGAAACAGACTGTCGGATGGGACTTCGTGCTTGGGAGACTCGAAGCTGACGTCGAAACCGGAGTCGGAGGAGCTCGAGAGCTCGTCGAAGCCTCCCTCGCTGCAGAACGAGTACTCCGAGGACATGTTGAGCGTTTTCTGCAAATCAAAATTTAAATAACTACACAATTCAACACGCGAGTAATCATTTTTAGTGGCCAAATTGTTCGGTAAATCTTAGAATTGTGTATTTTACGTATGCACAATTTCAATTTCTCTTCTCGCTTACAATCTTTCTAAATTTACGTATGCCATTGGACATAATGATCGAACGCCACGATTCGTCCAGAATTATCTTACCTGATAAATTCGTCCGCTTAGCGAAACAATCCTCGTTGAGCTTATCGGACGAATCGATCACTTCGCGAACTTTGATTTTCTACAAATTTCTGCCGGGTTTCACTGACATGTGTATCGTCGATGAACTTTTGTCACGACATAGCCGGAAGTGTTCTGTTCGCAGCGAGAGAAGAAAAATAAGAAACGAGGTCTGTTCTAAGCGGGGTACAATTTTGTACTGTGAAAGTGGCATGGGGCTCTTAGAGCATATATACCGTCCCGGGGGTATTTTGCCCCCTCCATAAGGGCGGACCGCCTTCTATGGGGCACCGTACCAAGAGTTCACCCCATAATCACGACGCAGGGGCACCTAACGTTCTCCCCACCACTCTATCTCTCTCGGTGTATGCGTTAGACGCGTGCCACGGCGATCTAGTCGTCTAGTTTAGCAGATTAGAGGTTTTTAGGGCGATTACACCTCTTTATGGATCTCATGCGAGAATGGATACGTAGTTTTGTGGCGTGTTATTAAAATTTCTATTGTGCCGATTTCGCGGTCCATTGCTGATCCTGTTTTCATATCTATATTACCCTGGGTTGTTTCATTTTCGGATAAATTTCGTCTTTTCGTACGTAATTTATGTGTAGTAAATGAATTTTTAAATACACTCGTGACAATCTTTGCAAAATCTGAAAAGTAGCGAGTTTAATCATTTTTAGACGGATATTAAATTTGAGCAGATTTAAGTTCGCAAAGTGTACTTTGACACGAGATAAAGTATTCAATAAACGTATGAACGTCAAATTTCTCAGGCTTTCGAGAAAATAATTTTTTGAAAATATTTCATTTTTTATTTAAATCATATTTTTAAACGTATGCGAGTTGCACATCGATAAAGCCCATTTCTGCGACTTGGTAGCACCGTTTGCTGCAGTGTATACCGGGATATCTGTTTGAAGGGGCACCGACAGTACGTAGAAAATTAATCAACCGTCTCTTACCTGGTGAAGAGGTGAAATTATGTTGACGTT